AAAGTTATGATGCTCAAACCATTTGATCTGCTCTAGAAATAAATGTCATCAACTGGTTTGCAGGACTCTCTACTTTTGAATAGAAAAATTAGAGTTAGATATTGAAAACAAGTATGAAGTCCTCACTTGTTGCTTTGACAATAGATAAGTGTGGTCCACTACTTATTCAGATCATGCACCACTTGTTGAGTGTCAAAATTTAATCCCCACCTCAACACTTATAGCACTAAGAAACACCACAATAATAGCCACTAAGAGAATCTACTCCCATTGTAATTCTTAAAGGACAACAGAGACAACAGTGTCAACTAATGAATGTGACAGGAGATAGACCAATGAGGACAAGTGAAATTCATATGGCCTTTAACCTCAGATAAACCTTCTACCACTAATGGAGACTACTCAAGATTTTCAGATCATGATGTTTTACATATTTCCTGTCTAGGCACCTCAAATGGGAAGCTAAGCAGAAGAGAAACAGCTAAATGCTGACAGAGGAAGGGGAAAAACTGGACAATCACCCACTAAATAATAGGGCTTTATAGTCCAGGAATCACCTTGGCAAATCCTAGCTAATAGAATCCAATTCTTCCAGTGAGGCTGCCAACCATGTGTCCCTGTTGCCCACAAATGACACCCTTGGAGTAGAAATCCTAGCTGTATACATTTTACTTTCTTACCAGTGCTTCAATTTTTCCAAACATTTTCTCTCCATGTGGTTGCCCAAACCAATTCATGTGCTTATTGGCATGTTATGAAACATGGAAACAATTAGAGACCACATTCTAGGGCACAAGAATGACTTGCTACAGAATCAAGAAACTACATAGAACCTGAGAGGATCTGGCAAGGAAGATGGAAACTGTGGACTAAAGCCCACTAACAATATCTCATGTCACACAGTACATTCTAGAAGACTATAAATTGCTCCTATATGTTTTCAGGCGGCAATCAGACTTTAAGATTTCTAGGTCTTATTAGTCTTTAGTTTCTCTGTATATCCTAATGAAATTCCTAAAAAATATTCACTCAACTTACACATTTTTCTCCTGCATTATTAACTGAATACATACTCAATTGAAAACAGTCATCTAAGTTAAGTTTGGGATTCTTTCAAGGGCACCTTTCAGAGAGAGTAATAACTCTTGAAAAGCAAAGAGTGTATGTTTTCAAGAAATCAATTTAAGTCCAAAGTTTTACCTAACATCTGCAAGGCCTTCTTCAACCATTCAAATGCTGAGGATTGTCAATTCTCTCTTGAAAGGCCAGTAAACTCCAACAGATGCTCATGAACCCTGTTGCTGTATGCTTGCTCAGCAAAAATCTCTAGAACTGCTGCTTTATCAATCACACAAGAGAAAGGAGCTGTGAGCTAGCCAGGCCTATGCAAAACTGAATCCTGGGAAGTAGAGAAGATGGGTTCTGAGGGGAGACTTTCCTGGCATCATCGATTTTTACAAATGTGGAGAGAGAATACAAAATTAAACCAAAGGAAATGTGATGTCAAGAATATATTATCCTTAGTGACAGTTGTTACTGCATGTAATTTATGTCCTATTACTCACTTACATTGTATTATTTCATATGACTACAGTGAAAGCAGCACTCAGAATATTCTACTGTTGTTTATTTACAGACTGAAAGCAAGTGCCTTTAGTCTGATATCCTTCTAGAGATTTTGCATTGGAGAAAGGCAAGGGAAGTAGAGCTCCCTGTTCTAGCTACATTCTCTTCTTGACCAAAATGGATGGCTGTGCTACTATGGGAACAGTGGCAGCATTTAGCAGTGCATTAGCTCTATGATCTTAGTCAAGATTCACTGTCAAACACCGAGAATCAGATATGTTTCATTTGAGAACAATATTGTCTTATTTGGTAACTAGCTTTAGAGAAAGACTCCAACCTCTCTCAACCAATGATAGGTGATGCTCAGAGTCACATTCCATCTTATCTTAGTGAAAAGCCCTAATATTCCTTCTGTGTCATCAAAGAAGGAGCAATGTGACTTGGAAGAGTATACTATCATGTCATTGTCATATGGCTAAGATGTGGTCAAGTTGGGATCTAAACCCACACACTGAAATGCAAGGTGCTCCCACTTGAAACTAAGTCAGAGTGCATCCCTTGTTGCTAATGAAGATACTCCAGGGCAGGCTTGTGCAGTATCATGCTACCTTCTATTCTCTTTCCTTTTGTTCTCTCTTCCCCACCTCAGACCTCCAGTTAGTAGGTATTTCTGCATACTTCTAATATTCTGAAGTGTTTACATATATTATTTTTCTCCATATACCAAGGGAATGATATTTCAAGAATCCAAGTCTTAATCAAAATAATGAAATAACAGGCTTCAGCCCTTGAAGAGGTAATCTGCTTAAATTACTTGGACCAGCTTACTTTATGAGGGAGACTACAGGCAGTTCCCAAGTAAAGCCAGGCTAGTTCAGATGTGTACTTTGAAATTTGGCTGCTGGAAACTGAGAATTCATTGAGTTCCAGGTCAGCCCACATAATAACCCACAGAGTGCCTTAAGTGTGGAACTATTGCTTCAGTCATAACTAACCACTGTATGTAATACTGTTTTTATAGTGAAACTCAATCCAAGTGTTTGCATGAGAACCCAGAATGCCCCCCCCACCCTAAAACTTTAGGTGCCAGGATAATTGCATAGAGAGAAAGCGAGGTGGCGGGTTGGTGGAAGGGATTAAGATGGAAGAGCAGGTGAATCATTTGGGGGACCAGTGCTTTGTTAGATCTCTCTAGTGCTTTGGCCATTTATTCCCAAGTGTTCTAGACTGAGGAACAAAGGGCTTCTGAGCCTTAGGGGTCAGAGCTCATTTGTATGATGAGATGGTTCATTGCTGAGACTCCTCAAAATTACCCAATGCAGGTTATCACAAATGTGGGTACAGACTGAAGCACCCCAGAATGAAAATCATAAGACAGCCATTTAATTGGCATGTCTAGGTCATTTAACAAAGGAGAAAGCTAACTTGCATCAGCAAAGAGTAATTAATGAAGGAAGCACACAGAGGTTCATTTAGTAACTTCCAAATAAGTTCCTGTGTCTGAGGTGGGGGAAAGGTAGCCTGCAATAGAAAGATAAACGGTAGGTATTTAAGTCACAATGCCTTCTGCCAACAACTGCTCATTACCACAGATGCTGCAGTGGCACCAGGGCCAGTACCACTAACTTTATTATTAGAAGCAATTAGGGAGAAAAGGGGCCGAATTTCATTTGGTTATTTCAAAACAAGTTTCTGTGCACAGTTTAATGAAGGCCTGCAGTGTCAAGATAAAATGTGTATTTTACCGAAAACAGCTTTTGCAAATGACTTCTTGTTACCAGCTGGTATCTCCAGGCAGAAAGGTCTGAGAGGTAGGATTTTCACACATGTCATAATAGTTCAGCTGTCTCAGCTTCACAGGAGTGTTAACCAGCAGTATGTTCTAATGGTTAAGATCATGTAGGCTGAAGCCAGATTGTCCGTCTTCAAACCTAAATTTTGACTTTTGTAATCGAATGCCTTTGGATGACCTTCTAGAAAGTTCTATAAATCAGTTTACTCATATGTAAGTGGAAGTAATAGACTGTTTATCTCATGGTTGTGGAATATAGAAGCACCCTAATATATATTTAGTTAGTTGGCAATTAAATCCAACAATCATTTTGATGTAGGGAAGTATTGTTGTTTTTTTAGAAGGAAACCTTTAGTACATCTGTGTATGCCTTTTCAATGACCTTGCAGGTAAAGTCTGACACAAATACCTGTCTTCACTGATGGCTGTTTTTAGGGAAATTACTTTTAAACAATATTTCAGTATTTCTGTGCAATTCACAGAATACCTGTTTTGAAATATCTAATTGCTTCTTAGGTTTACAAAACCAGTTGTATAACTTATCTTTTGATTACTCACCTTTAAATAAACATCTGAGACTTTCAAATTTTCCTACATCTGAGCTCTTCCCTTACAAATCTCCTGCTGCCTTCAACTTTTCTCTCTTCTGCACACGTAGGATAACATAACCTGAGCTTACCAGTACGTATACTGAGCTTAGCAGTACATATAAAAATACTCCACAGTCATGCATAACTCGGGACTTGGGCTTGGACTTTCTTTCTAACACCAGAGACCACGGTGAGCACAGTGAAAGGGACCTCACAATGGTGGACTCAAATTCTGACTCAAGCCTTCCTATCTGCTGACAGAATAAACACTGTCTTTAGTGGTTTCTCCAAGATTTCTATACTAAATTCTCAAGGTTAAAGAATTATTTTTATCAGATGGCTGCAGTATTTGCACATTCACTTGGGAATATGGCACAATCCTTACCCGTTATGTTTTAGTTTTGCAAATCAACAGCATTTAACTAATGCACCATGCACATAATATTAGACCCATATGATGAATAAAACTCCTTTCTTGGACCTAAATGTGCAATGACTCTGCCATTAAAATCTATTCATTTTGGAGAAATCAAAACTAGCAAAATGCCCTCTACACATTTATATGTTTACTCAGCTGTGTATTAAGCCACATCATGTTTCTGGCTGCCCTGACTTAATTCATGCTAATTTTAATAATTTAAGTAAGAGGCTCTCTCACAACATTTTTTTGTCTCACACTATAGATTGTGAAAAAGAAACAGCTAAAGTACTAGGAATCACATATTGGTGGAATTCCCCCCCACCGTCTATGTGTTTCTGTTCACTCTGAGCTTTAGAAAAATACTGAGGCTAATATTTATTTCTTGACATCTACTTCCTTTATGACTTTTTTTTTTTTCTGGCAACCACACATCATAGCTTGAGAGAATTTCCTTTTTGAACAGTACAAAAGAGTGTTAAAGAATAGTCTGATCAGAGTATTGGGTACCCATCCATGATTAGAGTCTGAGAAAGAGAACTTAGGGAAAGTTTAGATTCTGAACAACAGGAAACCTTCAACATAGGAATGGTCCAAGATTTTAAATAGGGAGGGCATGGATGTTTATTCTTACCCTGGAACGTTCCTCTAGTTTTGTCATCATAACAACTGTGGCACTTCGTTGTTCCCATATCATTCTCCAAAAGTCCCCGAAAGTTTCAGGGAGCGATCCCTGTGTTGCGATATAGGCATTTTGTTTCCTATAGCCATCTATGTAATTGGCATTCACATAGTCACTTCCTGGGATGCCTGTGAGACAAAGAGAGGAATTCAAGGAGGTGAGCATATCTTAAGGAAACAGCCTGAGGAACACACTAGTGACAATATTATATTCCAGTTCTATATTATGTTAGAGGAATCACAATGCACTAAAGTCTGGGTTTTAAACAGGCATGATCAGGATCAAGAAATGCAGGGTTTGAGGTGCTGAGTATTTATGATATAAGGTAAATTACCAAATAAATGAAAATACAACCCGTGCTCCATAGACTACCTTTTTGATCACTTTTTTGGTTTTGTTTTGTTTTGAATTATATCAGCAAAATCTTAAAGCTGCATTGGAGGAGAACTACTTATCTGGCCAGGTCACAATCCTCACTTAACTAAATAAAGACAAAACTAAATAAAGTAACGTTTGAGTCTGAGAATGCAATCTAGGATGGAACACAACACTGAAATAACAACTTTGTGACTATCTTTCACAAAAAGGAAACTAGGATACATGGAGATTCAAAACCGTGCTCACAAGTAGAGCACCATTCAACTTTACGGCAGTCTATCCACTACATCTGTGTCCTCACCCCTATAGAATAAAGCTGCTGATTTAAACCTCCTTTAGTTGCAACATACTGAAACTTCTTCTTGGCTTATGTAATTGCTACCTGATTCTACTTTTGGCCTTAGGTCTAGCATGAGAACAAGTAAAATAAAAATACATTTCAGACACTGTAACTTTTTTTCCTCAATCCAACAATGGCTTCCCAAACACTTCAAGTCCAAACCCTCAACAATGGCTCTCAGCAACCTCATTCTACTCAGTTCTTTGCCTTCACACTCCAGTCATTAGCCTGTTTCAATTGTCAGAAAACACCACTCTCCCACCACCCTATACCCAAGAATACAGTATTCTCAGCACTAAACAGTCCACGTTCACCCCGAAGGTCTGCCCTCGGTATTCTGGTATTTCAGAACTCCTCTGATAGTCTTTACTTACTGTGTGTCCTTGAACTATTCTGTTTGTGAACTGGCTTACTATCTATTTTGACTCCAGACCATGTCTCTTCTTCACTTTTGCTATCCCTAATGACAGAAATAAAAGTAATGTGCACCAGTTCCAATATTTAATAAGTTGCAGAGATAGAACTGAATGCAGAGATTCTGATTGAAAGTCTAATTTTCCTTCATCATTATGCATTAAAGAGGCATATAGACAAGTCCTAGTTTCTTCCTGAGAGTGGCCAGAGTAATTAAAGAAATTAAAGCTATGTCATATGCGGAAGGGTTCTCTTACAGCCTGGCACAGGAAAAGTAGCAGTTAAGGATAAGAACTGCCTGTGAGAATCTGAGAAGTTTGGGTTTATGCTGTTGACTCAACTTTTCAAATCCGAAGGATGTAGTTGCAGAGAGATAAATTTCATTTCCAATAAAGCATTTTCCAATCGCCGGACTCAAAAGGGGAAATGATTTCCTTGGGAGTTAATAAGTTGTGTATCCCAAGTGCAGAATAAGCACTTTACAGGGATATTAGTGTGATAGGGAAGTAGCTACAGAACCTGTACATGGCCCCTTCTTACCCTGGGAAAATATGAGGATTATATTTATTTTTGAGGAAAAAAGGAGAACATTTTCTTTATAATGGGGCATATGTTCCCAAGCTAAAATTGTTATATTTCACTGATTGCCACTTGCAGTTACTTTGACATTTTCTGATTCCAGTTGTAAAACTGATCCACTCAAATAACATAATGAAACTCAGATGGAAACTAGTGAGCTCGGAGATGAACACAGGGATATGCAATACCACCAACACTAGTGAAAGCCTTTTGAGCAGAAACTGAAATGCACGGTTGGTTGTAACATTATTCATCTATTACAACTACTCAGAAAGCAGTTGGGTTCTGGCAGCCCTTTGTTGATAAAGATCCTATTCTTCCCTGACATCAAATTACTGTAGATTCAAAGGATAGTTTAAATCAAGCCCTCAGGTTACAGTCACTGAGACGCATGTGCATTTACATGTCCACAGGATTTGGTCCAGAGCCAGCAATGTATCATTTTTTTATAACATAGGAAAAGTCTACTTTCAAAATTTCAATTTATCATATGACAATGTTAAAGCTTTGGTTTTCAAAAAAAGATTCTGAAGAAGGCCCTTACTCAGTTACTGACAATAGGACACATTTTTTTCCAAGAAAATTCAAAATGGAGCATCTGGGTTAATGATTCAGAAAATGCATCCACTAGGCACGGTGCCATTTCCCCTTATCAAGAAAAACAAATGTGTCGGAACAAGGTGTCTGAGTGCAGATGAGATGGATGTGAGTGTCCTATCTAAAGGAAGCAAATCAGACCCATTCAACCCTTTGGCATAAATTATGGTCAGTTATTATGTAACGAATTACTTTTTCAGGTAGTGTTCAACTTTGAAGAACAACTTATTCTTTTTTAGGGGGAACAGGTTACTACTCAACAGTGCCTGCACTTCCCAATGATGAAAATACAAAAAAAAAAAAATAATAATAAAAAATATTGCCTGAAGTACTGGGCACTGGGGATCCATATATTGTATCACCAAATTCTTTGAGAATTTGAGACATGATGTTTTACAAAGAAGAGAACTGATAAAAAGAAGTCAATACTGAATAGAACTATTAGACTAATGTTTATATCCTGAAAATAATGCTACGGCTCCTCTTTCATGTTGCTACTTGCTTATAAGGCTGCCGTAATGGAATGAAAGCCTCCTTCTGGGGGATTCCTTTACTTACTGGGTAAAAAAAAAAAAAAAAAAAAAACACATTTCAGGTAACTTTGCTCTTACAATTTTCTTTGCAGTAGGGAGATGTGAGAATGACTATGTTTCTTAAAAGCACTAAGTAAGATCTAACGGTGCCCTGTGTTTATATAACCTAAGAGGATAAGCTATGTAGAAAGATGAAAGAGAAAAAAATTTAGAATAGTGGTTTTTAACTCTGTGAAAAAAAAAAAAAAGGTAACATACTAGCTTCCAAAATTTTAGGTGCCATGAAATACTTCTTCAGTGGTTTTTGATTATTATGTCTGTGGATGGTCTGGATACACAATATTCTTTCACATTTTTGGTGTGACCTTCAAAAATGCATATTCATTATTTACTTACCAATTCCCTGCCTTAACCAGAAAATGATGTGCATCTGCTAATTCAACAACAATCAGAGTACTCTATTAAACCATTTAGGGTGTGAAAAATAATTGAATTAATATGGGACTATGCTAACTTAAAGTCTAACTTAGATGCAGTTACTGCAGGAATATAGAAGTGCCATAAATTAGCTGATTGCTTTTATTTTGTGGACTCAGGCAGACCTTAGTCTAACACTTTGGTGACAATGGTACCATTGGAGAAGCCTGGCACTGACTAAAATAACAACAGTAAAACAAAGTATCTCATTATTAGCAAATTCTTGCAATGGGCTCTATTGAAAGAATTGTTTCTTGGAATCAATTACTTTTTTTTTTTTTTTTACATTATTCTTTATTTTTGTACAATGTTTGCTTTCTTTTCAGGTGTAGTCCCCATGAAATTCCCATCGCCAATTCATCCGTACACCATCGCCATAGTCCCTTGTGATCTCCCCACCTTTGTTTTGATTAGTCTTAATATCACTGTTCAGGAATAGTGTAGATCTAAAAACTTGCTCTTTTCTACAAACTCACGGTATTACATCTACATTTATAGAAGTAAGCACTCAGGATTTCCCATGTATTTTTTCATTAGCACTCTATGATTAATAATCTAACACCAGCAATAACTGCTTTTTCTTTCTAAACTTTAAGTGAGAAAACTGAGGCTAGAAGTTGGCTCTCTATCACCTCAGCATGCCTCATTCCTGTACACTTCATCAGCTCATGGACTATTTTTCTTGTGATACTTAAAATTATTATTTCAGTTCTTCATATGGGTCTGTATGCTCTGGGCAATCTAAATCTGGAAGTGTAAAACTCAATTCTTTAATGGGGAGTGATTAATAGATTTGGATTTCTGTGTTCATGCATGGCAAGTGACAGCAAACAAATATTCAAACAGAACTGGAGCAATTTCAGGTTCTTTTGCTAGTTGATTATACCTAGTTATCACACTCAGGAAAAACAAACTTGGCTGTGGACTTTGGACTGCATTGCTCTTTTAATCCTCTGCAACACTCTGAAACATTATCATGAAGTCCACATGCAAGGTTGATACTTCTTTTCTCCAACTCAGCATTGGGCTCACAGGGCAGGACTTTGTGATGTTGTTTCATGTGTTGAATACTACCAGAATAGGAGGAATTCTTAGGAAGATAAGAGTTTGAAAAAATACCCGTGGTGAATGATTACTGAGGAATGCTTTAAAACACTCAATGGATACTGAAATGTTAACTTACTCAGAGCTATTTTCTCATGACTAGGATAAAATAAATTTTATTCTTATTAACTTGAAGAGCATGCTTGCTTTGCATTTGCTTTTTTAGGCCAAAAGATGACTTGATTCAAAAATATTGTTTTTCTTGAAGGAGTGCTTGTAATTACAAAAGGTTTATACCAAAATCTTGTACCTTGATGTTAAAAGACAAAAGCTCCAAATCACATATAAAATATTTTCCTGGTATGAAATTAAGTAATCATAAAGAAAATAAGAATGCTGCAGGGACTTTCTGAAGATTTGCGACAAAACTCAGCACTTGCTAAGAATTTAGAAAAATTGAGCAGGAAACTGGGATTCCTTTCTAGGGCATCTGGGAATTTGCTCTTTGACATTAGGGCAGTCATTCAACTTGTCCGGATCTCTGATTGCTTATCGGCTAAACAAGGCATGTTGGACAAATTGATTCCCTCAAGTCCTTTTGAGTTCTAAAATAAGATGTCTCTCTGTGGTATTCTTAACCTTGTATTCAGAAATCTCTGTGAAGTTATTTTAAGATAAAAAGAGGCTTTGTGTTTCTCAGATTAGGTAGGAACATGCACTGATGCTCCCTCTTTCAAGCTGATTGCTATTGCTCCTACCTCTGATG